TATTTGTTTCATTCTTATCACCTAATGTGTGCACGGGAACGATTAATCCAACGTTCCAATGTTCAGGAAAATGTCCAGAGTCAAGAATACGATTAAATAGATTTCTTTACCAGAGGTAGCAATAAGACACGCGGTTTATTTTTGAATGCACCAACGGGTATTTCGTCTACGCCAGACGATTGACCTTTTTAAATACAATACAATTTCTTCAGCTAAAATCTCACTTCCAAGACATTCATCAGCATCTTTGCATTCATGACAATCGGTAGAGTTATGTTTTTACATGGATCTCGAAAGGGTTATAATCTTTATCAACTGTAGGGTTTAAGAGAGATTTAAAATGGTTAATCTAATTGAAGAGTTGTAGGTTTTCTAATGCATCCTACGTTACTGATGATCTTCGATCTGGACATGTCCATACGTTGTTACGAAAAGGGTACGTTTCATTAGGCCTGCCCACGGTTTTGTCTGTCGTGAAGTGACGAAAAAATCGTTTCATCTATCTCATCACAAGCCATTTTGAAATTAGTTGTGTCATATTTATTAAGTATCTGACATATTTAGCAAGGTTAGTTTTGTGAACTGACGATCTACGGTATACTTCAGTATGATATACTCACTGGAACATGTTAAGATGACTTGTGATGTCTGACAAAGATGCCATTTTACAGATCTACGATTGCTTTTCAGCGGTCTTGACGTTTATAAACGTGATGTAAATACACATAACTGTGTGCGCATAGACATTGTATATTCCCAGCCACACAGCTCCGTTCCCCGCTCACCGATAAGATTATAATGTTACAAAACGAGTAGAGACATAATATATAAATACATAATTTCCACTATCCTTTTCATTCTGGAACATGAATTAAAATTATTTAACATCACAATGTTCACTGTGGCAGTACTAACGACCGTGACCTTTAATTGTTTTAAACAGTGTAGTCCCCGTTCAATTAGGATGACCACTGATACACCTTTAAACATTTTTTTTATCCATAAACAAATTAATGCATCCACGTGAAACACTTTACTTCTAAAACCTATGACAGAGTAGACTGCCAAAAATCATCTGTATACACTGTCAAGAAGTAATTTCAATTCTTTATTCATGTACATGTGTAGGCCAGCGGCCCATGGTACAATATTTGGTCCATCATTAACATTTATAGGCTAAGTGTTTGGAGTCTAACATTCATAGCATGGTATATAAAAGTTGCAAAATTTCTAATAACAGTTTCATTGTTTACAGCCATAAGCATATTGAATTTAGCAAGAGTAGGATGTACAAAATACTTCTGTGGTAAATACTGAAGACGGAGTTCATCATAAGCGTTACAAATTAATAAAAAATGATATTCATTCTCGACATATCTTTGGTTGCAATTATACAATATCTGCTCTCGTGGAGTATTAACGTATCTACCAGTCTCAATATGGAGAGTGTGGGAGCTACAACGAAACTGGGCTAGTGCAACACGAAATTTGTTGATAGTGATAGCAGACAAATACAACTCTAGACTAAATGAATTTTTGAAAAGTATATAATGGAACATTTTAGAACTATTTGCTAAAGACCAATGCCAGTCCTGTTCGTAAGCAAATTTTAACCGATCTTCACATTCGGAAATAAATGATTCGGGGCAAATAACATATTGGTTCTCCCATATATATCCAAATCCAAGGCTGTATAAAAGAGTTTTGACTTTTGTAGCCCAATTAGTTTTACCATGTGTGGCTAGCTGAAATAACATATCATAACTTTTCCTAGGATATCGTGAATTTGGGAGGGACATAAGTTTACACCAATATTTTATACAGCGTTTATACGCAGAAATGTACAGTGGGTATCTTCCACACTCCCCTCGCACAACATGATTGGGAGTAGACGTTTTAACACCTAGCAGACGTTTACAATTCAAGTATATGGCTACTTTCTATTTCTTTGCAGTTTTCAAAACTCCACATTTCAGCCCCATATAACATAATTGGAGCAATTTTAGTATCGAATATTTTAAAAAATAGTTTCAGTGGAATAGGTTTAAGTGATGAAAGGGATTTTAGAACCGAGAACAATACCCGTTTAGCCTGTAATGAAGCATTGTAAGTATGTTTCGACCATGATAAATTCTTTGAAAATACAACTCAAGTATGTTTTTGTTTCCTGAACGATGAGAGCATGTTTTGTGTCCAGATATTAATTTGTGTTAACAAATCAAAATACAACGTGAACACTTTTCCCAATGTTAATGTGTACGTATTCTCATCACAATTCCCTGATACTAAGATTACGTCAAATTAGTGATTTCTTACATCTTCTACGAAGTTTCGGACACCGTTATAAATCCCTTGCTGAAGGGTTGTTTGATCAAGGTTACAACAAACAGTTTTATGGTAGACATGTGAGGTCATTTCGAGAAATTTGATGCATCGGTGAAAAGATATGATGTCTGATGCAATTTCCTACTTTGACTTGTTCGATATGTCCCCGTGTTTTTTCAGGTGAACAAGTGACTTGCAGTTGCATGTGTTTGTAACGAGTGCAACCGATTGGTCAAGAACACCCGGTGTCATCGCTATTTGACAGTGATTCATGAACATGTTCATGATACATATTGAATCCTACAATCGCTTTGCTTTTAGCAGAGATTTCATATAATTATGGAAGTGATTTTTGTCGCTTTTATCTACATATCCCCAAGTGGTTTTCGGGCGTCGTTTTTAACATTGCTTTACTGCGTTCAACGGATAGAAAAATCCAGCTTAAACAACTCCGACATCTGCTGGTACGTTGATAACCAATTAAAACATCACGTGGGGTAGACACATTATTGGCAGGTAAGTTACAGTGCAATCAAAAGTTTTTTCTCTGTTTCTAAGTGCTACTATCTCTGTCTATCTTTCTCTCTGTCTATCTTAAATAAGATATCTCATCTGAACCCAGACTCGATTGTATGATTCCGACAATATCGTTGGCATGTGTTTATAAATAAGTATCACGAACTCTGCACAGAAAGTTGCGGCGCCTCAGACGACTGGACTATCCGTATGGGTGATAAAAGATCACCACTGTGTATCATTTTCATACAGGTGCACTTTACACCCGTATCTGATTTGCTTGTTCCAGACATGTTATATGAAAGATGCGAAATTAATGATTATACGTTTTGAAAGACACACTACTTGAGAACTTTTGCGTGACTATGACTGATATCAAGGAGAAAAGGTATGACAACAGTTACTAACGGTAGATCATCAAACATTAAAGTGAAATGAACAACGACACGAGGTCTGACCAGAAATTAGTTAAGACGTATAACCAGGTTGATGTGGGTGTCTTCGCAGTGGACATGTGCACGCGAATTCAATATTTACGTATTAATCCACTCACTAACTCCTAATTTGGGACAATGCCATGGTCACCATGATTCTCTCTCAGAAATTCCGAGAGCCATGTATGTGGCGAATACATAGATGTATAATCCCATACGTGACTTTGGCTGAAAAAAGGTTCTGTTCATCCAGAAGTGAATGGGTATCCGTTAGGATGAGATAGTATTGTGATTGTTAACATTCTTATTTCACAGGGAACCTGGGTTGTATGCTCCTAAAGTATCTGAAAATGAATATCCAGTGCACACTGACCGGGATAATAATATACAGCGCTATATTATTATTATGATTTGTTATTATTATTATTATTATTATTATTATTATTATTATTATTATTATTATTATTCGAGTTTGTTGGCCTGGATACGCCTGAGGCTGTATACGGGCCCATTCCAAAGAATTTTGTATTTATCATTTTCCATGATACCCTCTACATATTCTGGGTCGTACCATAGATGGACCTCTGTGTCATATTTCGCTTAAGATACTGTTTTGTGCCAAAGCTGGGCATCTACTGACAATGTGTTGGACAGTCTCATTAAATTAATTACATAATCTACATTTCATATTAACATTTTGATGCAAAATCACACATTGACGCTTCCGAGTGGGAAGGGACTGGTCCTGAACAGCAAACAGAAAGCCTTGAAGTTCTGTTTCACTTTTCAGGCCAGCAGACCTGATCCAAGCGAAGGATTCTGCAGTGTTGCTGATCTTCTCAACACACTGCGGATAACCTCGATGCAGTGGTCGTTCAGATACCCTCTCCTTGAAAAACTTAGCATTTGATATGACACTTCGCTTGGTTGACACTCATTTCTGTACCGTCCAGCAGTACAGAACCATCAACAAAATCAACACTGACATTGCGATTATGTCCCACGTCCTTGGCTCCTTAAAAAACCTGTGGAATGCCTTGTTTTCATCATGAGTCTTGAAATACTTCACAAGAGGATCATATTATACCAGTGTCTGCCTGAGTAACATGTAGATGGTTCAAGTTAAAAAAGCGTCAAACATTTACGGTCATGTGCACGCTATCTGCCTCTCTTGTTAACTTGCGATACCGTCAACAAAGAATATTTATACCATCAATCAGAAAATGTTATTTCTTACCTGAAACTGTCACCGACATCTGAAAGATTTACTAACATTATTGTAATGTTGGTGGCTGCAGTCGGATCCGAGTTAGTTTACTGGTATTTGTTCGCAATTAGGTCGATCATAATTTCACCTGAAGTGAAAGCTAGCAGCATGACAGGAATGGCCATCCAGTGAGTAAAGCCGCATAAATGCCGTGAACTAAATGAGGTGTTCTATTATTAACGTTCACACAACGATAAATATCTAATGTCAGGTACATTGTACAAAACTTGTCTTGAATACAGAAAACGAAATAACAAAATTCAATATTTTATGTTTCTCCCTATCTGGCATGGTTTGTCCATGGGAATTGTTCCCTAAGTACAACAAATAATATCCAGATAATAACACGTAATCCTGACACATGACACATAAGCTCCTATAATTCATTAATTGCAGGATTCTTCTATTACAATCAGTCAAATATAATAAATCAGAGAACTCTTTTGATTTTGTTACAGATGGTCGCAATAGCTGTGACGATTCCAGGACTGTGCCGACCTTCATCTTGACATGATCTGTCATCGACCACACTGGAAGACTCCAAAAGACTCCATACAGCAATATGGCCGCCAACGCGTCAGACGTCGCCATGCAACCGGCGCAACCAGCCCTGTTTCAGTTTTACAATTGGTTTGTCGGTGTCCATGGTTACGCCAGCGTTGTTGTGTGCATATTTGGTGTTTTCACGAACATCTTCAACATCACCATTCTGACGCGACGTGACATGCGCACACCAACAAACATTTTGCTCACATGGTTGGCAGTGTCCGATATCCTTACCATGGCGCCCTACATTCCGTTTGCTATACATTTCTACTGTCCACCTGCTAACGCCCAAGGTAATCCAGACAAGTTTACGTATAACTGGATCATGTACATGCTATTCCTTATTAATATAACAGCCACAACACATACAATTTCAAACTGGTTAGGTGTGTCATTAGCGGTGTTTCGATTTGTTCAAATGAGATCAACAAGTCGCGGTCCGCTAGCGAAAGAACGGAGGATCCGCCAAGTCAAAGGCATAACACTGGCTGTGAATGTACTGTCATCAGTTGTGCTCATACCTAACTACCTTACGAATGAGATCCAATGGCAAGCACTGGATAACAATACTATAGTGTATGGGATCAAAGATTTAAACCTTGCCACCAACCAGACGAAAACCATTGTTTTGTTCAATGTGATAAACTACGCCGTGACGGCAAAACTCGTTCCGTGTCTATTAATGATAGTTTTCAGTGGTTCTTTGGTTTATACTCTCAGTGTTAAAAATCGAGAAAGGCGACGGAGATTATCAGCAAGCGGTAAAAAGTCTAAAAAAGATTCCCGACAAGCCACTACCACTAGGATGTTACTCGTTGTTATCATTCTTTTTCTCATCACAGAGTTTCCACAGGGCATTTTGATTCTTCTCAGCGCAACAATGCCTGGGTTTTATGCCAATGTGTATACACTTTTAGGAGATCTCATGGACTTCATAGCATTGTTGAATAATGCCATTAATTTCGTATTGTATTGCATTATGAGTCAACAGTTCCGAGCCAGGTTTTTAGAAATGTATCTTCGGCGATCTGTCCTCCATAAACCTTTAGAGGAGAGTGGGACGACCTCGGAGCGGTTGTGTTTGAAGGAACCGCCAACAAAGACTACCTTGGCAGACTAGAGACATGTACGTCAGTGGGCCACCATTATACTGTTTGGACTGGCGATCCGAACTACAAACTTGTCTGCATTTGTTATTAATTTAAGATCAAATTGAAAGAGAAAACGAAACAGGGAGAAATATATTTGCACGCAAATGTGGGAATTAAGTGCTATGAACTCACCAAAACACAGATGGTGTCTATAACGTTTACACTACACATGACCAACATGTACACAGGTGATCTTATGGTGGTGCTCGATGTTTAAAAACTAATAAATACCAACGTCAGACAGGGAACATTTTACAGAAAAATAGGCATGTCAAGATTATTCAAATATACGTTAGTTTCTGAGCAGCGAAACATTTAAAGAAAGGTTGCCCCACTAAAAAGTCCATAACAATAAATCCCAAGCATTTTGGTTCAAACATTTAGTTGTTGTGAAAGACACGTAGCTAACTAAGTGTTCAATTGTATATTCGTTTCAGTCGATACAATGACCATGCCGTTCATGGTAGGATTATGGAATGACTACCCAAAATAATATATCATATTCTATAACTGCATTGGTTTCTAGTCAGTGTTTTATAAACTGTACATAGAGGTCGTCATATTGAGTAATTAATGAGAACTACGTGTATAATGTTACTCCTCAGTATGTATTCTACAAACAGTGCCATACAAACATCAGCTACTTTCCTTTTCGGAATCAACTGTTTTAATAAAAAATTATTATATCCAGCCATTTCTTGAAACATTGTTTTTATTCACATATCAATAAGACATTAAATTACGTAGCAGTGGTCGAGTTGAGTGTATTAGTTTACGCATTCTGTAACAAAACCTTGAAAAGACGCTATTAGATCTTTCTACTCACTTTTGATCTTCATAACGACTGTACCTTCTATGAACATGTACATGTTTAAGACAAAAAAAGGTTTCAATTTCTTGTAACGTTTTATTTCGATCAATTTCATTTTATTTAGATCAATTTCAGAATGTGGTTTGGTCTTTCAACTGTAGCTGTCAAAAGTTTCGTTCTCTCATTAACCCGTATGCTCCAAAAAGATCGAACTAAAACACACTTCATAGCAAGTGTTTTTCACAATAATGGTCTAAACATTACTTACGTCAAACAAGTAGTATTGAACGCAACACAAATGGGATATGTAAGAATCCTTCCCAAGTTTTAGGTCTTGTAAGATGTTTTCTGTAATGTATTGACTTGTTTTAATGGGACGCCAACAGGAAGTATAAAATTATGTTATTAATCGTAAAAACAAAAACATTAATTTCATATTACGCTTTGTCCTGATGTTGGAGCAATCACATTTTGAGACTTAATGATCATGTTTAATGCTCAAGGTTTCACCCTCGAAATGTAATTAATATCAATGTATACAATACTAAAGGGCTTGTCAAAATAGTATTCCGTCTACAGTCAATGACTAACCATAACCCCATTTGAAATCAAACACAAAGACGCACCATGCTCTCTTACATTTGTTTGCGTGTTGGGGGACTACAGTGTGTCAGTATAACGAGGATTCAAGCCATGTAGATGATGAAACATCAGAGTGACACAGAACTCATGGTACACATGGCAACAAATGATAATTTTTATGTCAGACAGAGATGTGAGGACACTTACGATCTGGATGATGGAGACACATGGTTTGTAATAAAGCTCTGTTCATCTGAATCTTCCAAAGTAATGAAGTATATGTTGTGCGAGCATCTCATGCAATATCCTGTGTCATTGCCACGTGTTTCTTAAAGACTGTCCATGGCAATACACCAAGACATATATCGTTTTCTCTTATTTGAAATGTTCTTCAGTGGATCACTGGTTTAGAGATTATCTGATGTTTGGGCTGAAATGACCCCTTGCCAAAACATCAGGTAACTCGCATATGTCACATAACCAAAGAATATTTCAGACATTTTCATACCCCTCGTGTAAATAAAGTTGTTTGAGATGTTGTACATATACCCAGTGGTATTTGTGTGGTAAGTGCAATTGATATCACATTGTTATGGAGCACATTTTGAATCATAATTCATCGTACAAGTTTCAAAATCACAATTATTCTTGAAGAGCGAAGTGTCCTCCATAGATATATATTTTCGAGAGATTTATATTTTGATAAAATTTGTTCATTCGAACACATAGGATGTAATACTTCTTACATAGATTCAGAGATTGTTTAAACATTTAGACAATGTTTACATCTGTATATATCATTGTGCTGTGTCTGTATATATCACAGATCTTTTAACTCGTATTGTTTGTACGACGATATGTGGATTGTAGAGAAACTGCCAGTCAACGGTTAGAAAACAACACGTATTCAATGGAAATGAATAACACAAGGAAGCGAAGAGAGTACCGCCGGATGTAGTTTATAGTGACATTGAATCTTCACTGCTACAAAACTTACCACCCTGAATGTTTGCTGGAAAACTACCTGACACGTGCGATATTTTCTGGTATAAAAGTGTTGTCATAGGGCCCATGTACATTACTGTATACATCTCCCGAAATATCAGTTCTCGTTAGAAAGCGTGTGGTGGCTCGTCGTACTCATCTTTTCCCAAGATTAGTTACCCGCACGTGTGAACTGTGTAATGTAGTATACTTATTCCTGATGAGATATGTCTGCACATTTGCTGAATAGGCTTCATCTGGCTGATTCAACATGTAAACGGTCGTACTATATTTATAGTTACATTGTTCTTGAATCTAAAGCCATTGCATTCTTTTTTTCTTTTGCATATATTGCAATATTGTACCTGTCTTCCATGAAAGAAAAATTGAAATCTATCTCTTGATTATATTTGTTGATTTAATGAAGTTTAATGGTGAAGATGCACATGCAACGGCAATTTTCTCCTGAAGACACCGTGCCTGTCACACTGTGTCTGAGTCTTCGCCTGTAGACTGCTAATGCCAGTGTCAGTCACCGTGTTTAACGTTCATACCTTGTACACAGATAGTTCATATTGCGTCACCCATTCTCTGTTATTGACAGCTTAAATCTTGTTCATAACATTGTAATACATGTGCCTTGTTCATACGTGTGCAGTCAAGTAGATCAGTTTTTGGACATGCTTCAGTTAAATTTTGTCAGCCTCTGTATACTTGTGACTTTGCACATATGATGAAAATGGTTGGGATGTATGTACTTGAAATTGTAATAAAACCCATTGCCACTTCGTATTCAAAACCATATGTTCGTTTGTTGTGACTCGTGGAATTTGGATCTATTATACACAGTGTGCGTGGTCCGCGCAGTCATCGCCATAATGATGAATATCGAATATCACATGTTCTGTCTGACTATAAGACTGATCATACAAAGGATAGTGGCCGCACAATGGATATCATACAATGACCATACAAGCGATATCATACAATGGATGGTGCCCATACAGTGGATAGTCGTCATACAAAAGTGACTGAGTGAGTGAGTTGGACTTTGCGTCGCTTTTAGCAATATTCCAGCAATATCACGGCGGGGGACACCAGAAATGGGCTTCACACATTGTACCCAATTGGGGAATAGAACCCGGGCCTTCAGCGTGACGAGCGAACGCATTAACAACTAAGCTACCCCACCGCATACAATAGATATCATACAGTGGATAGTGACCATACAACAAATATCATAACGTGGATAGTGACAGTGCAATAGATATCATACAATGGATATTGATCATACAATGGATAGTCACTATACAATTGGCATCGTAATAGTCAGCCTCGGTCGTAAACGATCGAGTCGTTCGGATTTCGCCAACGTTCAAGAAATCGTATTATAGTTTTTATACCTGTTCAAGAATATTGAATATTACGTACACGTCATGTGTTTACAATCAATGTATATTGTAGTAATAAGATCAATTAAACGTATCCTCGTATATTTAACAGTGAGCTCCAGTGATTTGCCCAAATAGTCCCGCGATCTACTAGCGATTTCGCAATCAAAAGTTGTGTTGTTCATTCCGAGATTGTTTTATGCGATAAATTCATTTTTTAAAAAAATATTTATTCCAGATACTTACATAAACATCTTCCTGGATATGTCATTTGGTAGATTACATCCATCTAAATGAGTGTCACATCTTATATTTGGTGTTTAGTCGCATTCTTCTCGCTTGAACTTCTGGCTTCTTCTGTTATAATTATGTATTTCCGTAAGTGACGTCACTTTGTAATACGGCCTGTAAGTAGGTCCCGGGGCTACTCCCGGTGACAAACAACGTTTTACCGCAATGGTAATATCAGTGCCACGTAGGACCGAACCCGGCTAATCATACTCGGTACGCGCTGGTGTAACATCTTACATGCATTATACACTCGAGCTAGGTAGCATGAATAGCAAGTTTATGCTTGTCTGAGCAGTTGTCAAGACGTCCTGTGATCGATGTCAAACTGGCCGCTACCCATTCATAAATCGAGGTAAGTTTTCACTTTTAGCCCACTTCGCTGACAGGCTGGTATAATTGTCAACGTAGATAAGCCAATACTGATCATTTAATCACCACACGTACAATGATGATGACGTTGAAATGTGAGCAGAAACAGTCGAAAATCTGTAGTTATTTGTTGTCAAAAAAGGAGTTTTCAATTGCTAATGAACTTATGCTCACCGTGTGTGGACGACACAATGTTATGGCACACATTTATGAGCCTTTCCCAATACATTGTAATGTTCAGCTCTGATAAGGAACGTCACAGAATAATATGTTTGTGTCCAGGGGAAATAGGCCTATTGTAGCAATGTAAATTGTTCGCAATTTTTGACTATACTTGTAATCTGACTGGGTAATCATTTTGGGCAATGACATTTATAGAAGTTTCTGTGTTAATAAAAAAGATATGTGCCATTATTATAATGATAATGCTATCATGGTTATGTGCCCTGAAAAATAATGTAAATAATGATGATTAAATCCTTGGAAAATTTGTTTTAAGCTCTGAAAAGTGACCTCACTTAAATATAATCTGAATTTTGTATGATATGAATAAACTTGATCGTTAAAACTCAACTTAGCAGTTGTAGATGCATATCAAATTTATCAAGTATATCTAAATGTAAGCATGGTAATTGTAAGGAATTGTTGGCATTTTAGAAGTATATCTTATGAGTTCTCATAAGTGTTATTTATCTTTTGCAGTTGGACCAGATTATCCGGTTTGATGGGAGAAAGATTTCCTAATCTTTAGATGTTTATGTATCATCAGAATAATAAAAGCACACAGAATGTATGATTTTCAGGGAATGGGTCAACATTTTCAACGAAAATACAACAGATGTTTACCAATGAAAATAAAACTTAACTAATGGCATATCAGTTATTTCTTTATGAAATTGGGAGCACGGGTGGCCCAGTCGCTTAAGGCGCCGCAATTTGCTGTGCAGAGTTACGTCCCTTGGGCACGCCAGAAACCTATGATTGTGGGTTCGAATCCCGGTTCGCCCCGATTATGTTTCTAGGTTTGTCAGCACCATACCTATGCTTGTGGGTTCACCGAAGTGGTAAACGTCTGAGACCTGCATCACTTCGGTCCTTCCTCCCACATCAAGCTAACACGCCGTGATATAACTGGAATACTGTTAAAAACGGCATTACACCCAACTCACTCACTTACTCTTTATGAAATTAATTCTTTGTTGAAATAGCAACATGTCTTGTGCTTGCTACAAGATTTCAGCATGCAAATACACTGATTCGTAGTACAATAGACAATAAATATTATTACAGATATATTCAGTTAGTATGCCCTACTTGCCCGTCCAATGAAAATGAAGTGCCGGGCAAGTGGGAAGATATGATGTAGTTGCCCTCGGGCACGTATGAAAATCTGCGGTATTAACTTTCAACTTGCATCATGCATCCATGGATTGTCAACTGCAGATGAAGTACCTCCCTGGTCATTTTGCTATGCTGCACAACTTCCGTTAGCTGTTGCTTCTGTTATAAAGTTGTATTGTTAAAATTAGAGTGTTCTTCTTTTCTCTGATAGGGCAAGTTGAAAATCAGGTAGAAGTTTTAAGTTTACTTGCCCTTGGACAAGACTTTCGTATTTGAACACCCTACATTATTCTGGACCAGTAATCTTAACACATATTCGTCTAACTCTAAAATGTTAGTTACCTCATTTGTTTAATTTGGCTTTATTAACAGAGTACGCAACTTTTGTAAACTAGGTGCATTTTTTCTATCTCTGACTCAAGTGAATATCCTTGTACGAAATCGTGTTCATCAAAGATCACTGAATGATTGATAAGTTAACCATATTGGTGTTATGGACTGATATTTAAAGGAATAATAAAAGAATAAATAAAGCACAAAATATAAGTAAATTTGGCGGATGAGTGTGACTCAGATTGTCTGAACAATAATATATTTTATAATGTAAGACTTAAACGCTTACGTAAACTTTAAACAGATAAAACAACAAATGAAGCGCAAAAGGAAAGTAGCTCATGGTTAAAATTGTCTATATCCCTTCACACGGTTTGAAGGTCATTACATTTGATTTGCTCAAGCGCTAAGTTTATGTTCAACCTTCAAAGCTCCACACAGCGATAGTCCGTTCGCGGAGCTCTCTATACTATCGCTGCCACCCGTCAAAACTCCCCACTGTTATAGGTGGCCCCAACCATGCTTGGAGTTGAACTCGCAACCGAATGACCGTTATGTTTACAAACAAGTGACGATTATCGTGACGCCGAATACACTTACCGCTGATAAATTACCTTCTTTGTTTGTCAATTTGAATTTCTATTTCATTAAAAGTATCATCTTTAATTGATATAGTAAGAATGTAAGGGAGAAGTTGGTTGATTTTCCGTTAGTTTGCAATCTCGAACCAATCTGATTATTAAAACAACAAAGTAAATTCATCTGGAAAACATGGTCAGTCGTAAACTTTTTCAAAATAAAATATGATGGCATTCCCAAAGACATAAACAAAAGTATAAACGTTACTACACATTGGGTTAGAAGGTAAATTTCCGCACTGTGGGCAGCGATGTTACCGAGAGTGTAATGAGGGTGTCACGCGCTAGCTAGGAAGTAGCTTGTCAACCTTCATGAGAAGGGAGATAACTGCTGATGAGTATGATATCAATCATAATGTCTGTGTAGCTTGCATGATGTAGAAGTCTTGGAGGGTCTCAAATAATGGTCAGGCAACTTTATCCACTTATTTGACGGATCATGTGTTTAAGAATGTATCTTCTTGATTCTTACCGTACATAATAACTTAAGTCATCATGGCCGATTGAGACTTGGCATATGGCAATATGACCCAGAATTCAATTTTTCTTCATAAGTAATCGTTTGTCTTTGCTTAAAGTTATTATGAAAGGAATATAAAATTTAAGAGCTTTATGTTTATTTAGTGCAGTGAAAATATTTTGGGGACACTTTATTGGAATATTTTGGCACATTTGTGTGTTTCCATGTTTGTGCTGTAATTTGCATTATTGTCAAATGCACGTGCCTTTGTAAAGTAAACAAGCCCAATCTAGTATATTATGAAGTAAATGCGTTAACTCAGGGAAATATATTTAATTGAGTTCATTCTGTCTCTTACAGTCAATCTAATATTTATACTTAAGTGAAATAAAACAAACTAGAATAGGAAATAGGAACGAACAATCGAGAAAGTTTAAAATTCATGTTGTTTGTTCGTTTGTTTATTGTTTATCACTGAACTCAGCAATTGTCCGGTTATATGACGGCAGCTTGTCAATATTCTAGTCTGGACCAGACAATCCAGTGATTGATATCATGGTCATCGATCCACTTCGTCGGGGTATGATGACATCCGTTGAAAAAGATTGCAAGTCCATTGTTTCCTCCTACGACAAACATGGACTTCTGGGGACAAATGCTACCCCGGAATCCCTACAGGGAGATATGAATATAAAAGTAATAAGACATCGGATGTCAATTACATTTCTTCTTCACATTGCAGCAAAACATTGATAATACCTCAACTTCCTATCATTTCCAGCTTACACATTTTAATGGTAAGTGTCTTTCCACGCGATACTGTAAGGATGACTGTTATGACTTTATCAAAAGGACAAGTCGTCAAACTATATTATTCATCGGAAATGAAGCCGTACTTAGCGTTTTCAAGCGGCAACAAATTGGTCAGTTTCATTATTTAACAGTCTGTTGCGAAAGAGTAATTTCTCCAAGAGGATTT